GAGCGGGTGTTGTGCTGTGTTCACATCCATTTATTGCATAGAACGGAAGTGGTATCCACTGCAACTGTGTCAAAAGTAACTTCCAAGCAGCGGCATAAAACTCTTTTCTCCTGTCGACAATTAACCACGGTGAAAGCCAAAAGGCAGTAACTTTCCTTCTGTTTTTACATTCTCGTATACATAGTATTCCTCTTGTCTGCCTATCTGTCATTCAGTACCGACACTTGTGGCCCTCGTCAGCGCCAGAACGTTGGGGCTGATGTGGGATGGCCGTGTATGAACCTAAACATGTGAAGTTGTCCCTATGTTTAATTAATTATGCACTACGCCATGAGGCATATGGAGGAGTGGATGTATAGATCCACATTTTCTTGACTTCACCACTAGCTGGAGGTGAGTGGTCAGCTTCACGTCCCGGCCGCTTCACCTCCGTGGTACCAATTGGATAGGTGGTTGGATGTACCCCAGAGCCGGTCTGGACGACATGGAGAAAAGAAAATTCTTGACCGTATCAGGAGTTGAAACTCCGACCGCTCGGCGTCCAGCTGTAGCTAGTCGCTATACTGACTGTCCTATCCCGGCTCTATATATGAACGTACCAACTCCAAAATTGGAACCCTTCAAGAAGGTTTCAAAATTCATGATGTCCATTGCCTACAAAACGAGTTATGGTATGGATTATATTCTAGTGGTTTACGGAGACGGTCTTCTTAAAGGGAACAGAGCAGCCGGTGTCCTCAGGAAATTTGCGGTACGCACAGTAGGGGCTCAAACGCGAAGGGCAGTCCGCAGCCAACAGTGAGTGGTCTACTTAGCAAGGTGATAGGGTGTGTCTTGGCACCTGTTCTTTGGCGTGCAAACCTCTGTCATCTGGGATATGACGCTATGTAGCAACAGACGTTTGGGAGGAACATGTCGATTCTATCTTCAGGGTCGAGGAATGAACCAAGTAAGAAGTCACCATGATCTGCTTGCTTCATGAAGGTTTTGCGTGGCTTATTCTTCAATCCTGCAGATAGAAACGCAGGTTGATTCTCAGCGGACTGAACAGCTTTGTATCCAAGAAGACAGAATTCTACAAAATCATCCCTGTGAGAACCGCAGGTGCGACTTGTAGAAGCTTCTTCTCACCACTGTAGCACACAAAGCGTCAGTGATCAATACACCTGGCAACAACGTGCGAGAATGACAACGTCACCATTGTTACTTAATTTTCTTCCGGATTATTTGGCAACGCTGACAGATTATGTAGCGTCTCGGTCAGGACATGGCCGTCATGTTAAGTAGTCTGGATACTCTATGAAATTAACATGACTGCAGGAGAGGACATTTTAATAATATTCGTTCATCTTCTTTTCCGGTTCTGCACATTCCCCATTCTTTCATTCCTCTAGCTTCTTTTGTTTTCTTCTTACTTCCTTTCGCCCTTTCATTTGGCCAGACGGGGTTCATGAACCCTTAATAGGAGTCCTCGCCGTGCTGATGTTTGCTGTCATTAATTTGCTTCGAGCGCGGGGTACAATGGTCCGTACTTCCCGGTACTTTTACCGCAGGTGCGGGCGTGAAGCTAAATATAGCCACAACACAGAGGCTTGCCTCCCTCTGTATTGACGGGTCATGAGTGGTGACGCGGGCTGGGAGAGGTCAGTTGCTGTGAACTACTTTGTCGCCACTAGCCGAGGATTATAACTCGGTTCCTTGTTTAAAGCGATGAAGAAGCATACTCGCTTTGTCATCATTACAAATACATTTTAATTGAAGCTTTATCAACTACTTATTTCATTGCATCGTAAAGTTGACAATTAGACGAGAAGTTCCGTTGGTTTGGAGGTTCTTGGGTGCACGAGGTAGCGTAGTTGGTTGAGGCACTGTGTTACAAGCCGGAAGGTCGCTGGTTCGATTTCAGATGACATAATTGGATTTTTTAATTAACCTAATCCTTCCAGCCGCATTATGGCCCTGGAGTAAAGGGCGGCCGGTCGGCGCGAAAGCCTGACAACCTCACCGCCATCTGTTAGCCGACTTTATAGAAAATGTGAGAGCCTCGACGTCCCCCATCTCTATGGGTCTTCATGTTACACGGATAGCTTTACCTTTACATTTTTTGAGGTTCTTGTTCTGGTGCATTTTTGACTGCCTCTTGCTACCACTGTTCCCTTGCTTTGCTTACACTTTTACCCTAAGATGGAGGCGGTATGTTCCTCTGAAACGTCGGGGTGCATCCGAACTACACGACATTAGAGGTCAGGAAACTGTAACTCTTCAAAGAAAACCCAAATATTCATGAAGAGGGGATTTGCCCCATTGAGACCGGGGTGTGACGAAAGGGGGATTGGGAAGACTTCGGAAACATCGATCCAAAATGAGTAGGGAGCCGTAGGATGCAAGAACAGATTGCGCTGGCAGGAAATGCGAATTCATAGGACTAAGTACAAAGCGAAATGGGAGCGGAAGCAGTAAAGCAGGAGAGAGAGAGAGAGAAACAAATTTAGATGAACATTGATAAGCAGAGTTAGTAAATATCATACGCATGGCCGCGCCATAGCTCAAGCTGTGTAACCGTCCCCTCTCTATTTTTGTACTTATTTGCCGGCTTCGGTAGACCACTTGACTCTTATCAGGATCGTGTTACGGCAATAACTGAGGCAACGGGAACCTTCACACTTAAAGCCAGTCCACTGCTAGAAATCAACGACACGATTTCCACTCTCCACAAATTGTTTATATCAGAAGCGAAATATTATAACTTCATTAGCAAGGACGGAGTAATATGGCCCTTTATTACTATCAAAGATTTATCTAACCAAAATGAAAGACTGATAAATTTAGATAAACTTGAGGAGTGGAGCCCAATGACGTCTGCCCCCGATGAATTCAAAATGCTAAGTTTTTGAAGACTGGTGTCCTGCGGGAGCGTCGCTTCATACCCTGTGAGGGATTTGAATCGACGACCTCTTTCCCAGACAAGAATAGTTTCCTATTGACTGATTTTAACTAGCCAAATTCATCATGAATCAGCACTAGACAATCACATAACGAACTTTGAGAATAAAGAGATCCCAAGATACAGAACTCGGAACCCCACATGTGAAAGCGGTTATTTCTTAGTTTAGGGTCCACTTACCCCCTTCCGAAGACACTTTATGACAGCTACACCTGTCAGCAAAACAAAATTTACATCTTCGGCAAATTATAGACTTGCCTCCCGTGGTGGCCCTGTCCCCTTCCGGTCACCCAAGCAGCAGATAACAAAACAAGGCAGTTGTTTCTGTCCAAATGCGAAAAGCAAGTCATAACATGCTAATAAATCGGTCTCCCCAATAAACCAGTCACCCTTCTTAAATGGCTAAAGAGGATCATAGCGTCCCGCGGAGAATTGTGAAATGTTTGGACTGTCACAGCGGTTAGTCACTGGCTTCCAACCGCGGCGGACCAGGTTCGATCCCGGGTCTGGTCAAGTGGGATTTGTGGTGGAAAAAGTGGTGCTGGGGCAGCTTTCTCCGAACTTCTGTTTCCCCTGCCAATCTCCATTCCAACAATTGCTCCACAATCACCCTCACCTATCATCTGGGGTTGGTACAGTAGACCAGAAATGGCCGCAGTACAAGGGGCTCAGTCCCACCCCACTAGCAATAAAGAAATATATCATACGCATACTTAAAATGTTGACCTGCAGAAGATGAGTTCTTTGTTGGTAATTTTAGCTATATCCCAGAGCTTAGGACCAGGGAGTCACACTCCGACACCCCAAATTACAAACTGAAATGGACAGACTCAATATTTATCCAGTAATTACCGCGTTAACAGAGGCTCGCCTTTGGACCCTGCTGTGAGCCATATCATCGAAGTCCACATAACCACAGGCTTTTCAAGGACATGAGCCAATTTTGCCCTCCCATCGACACTTGCGTCTTCCGTGTGTGTATCTTCTCTCGAGATTGTTGACAAAAATCTGCATGCGTGCTATATATATATATCATCTGTTTTGATTTGGTGACGTAAGACTAGGGTAGACATACATAAGTTTAACTTTATTCAATATGGTCCGTCACACTAGTTAATTTTTATAAAATTATTACAAAATGATCTGCGTATGTAATTACGTATGTAATAGTAGTTCCTTAACACTTTGGTGTTACCTTGTGAAGGTTGTAACAACCGACAGACGTGAGCAAGGATAACTTCCAGATCATTTTACCCCAGACCATTGTTTTTAAAACAGTGGGTCGCTTCCCTCCAGGGATTCGCGACGTACCTAAGGAGCATGGCCAAGTTATCAAGAATTGCTGAAAATGGTCTTCTATCTAACAACAGCTTCGGCTTGTCAACAAGATGTTGTATAGATGCTTTCGGAAAATGCACCTACAGACGGCAACCTATTTCGCTAACTTTTTTGTGACTATATGAACATTTTGCACAGGTTTGTAGGTGTAGAAAACTTATAAAACTATATATATATATTCTTGCTGTCACCGTACAGCCTGCAACAGTGTGAAGAACTACAGTTTTCCTGCCCTGCACAGAAGGGAGTAGGGTGAGGCACCGTATATTCTTGTATTATTTCTGGGGCATCGCGGAATGGCGAGCTCTGGATCAGCTCTCTATAGAAACCGCGTTTGTTACTTACTGAAACGTTGCAAGTAGTCTTAGTACTTATCGCACACAGCTGCGCTATATTCAGGGCGGAAAATCTTGCACTGACGGTCCAACACTGCTAGCAGCAATCCTTCCAAATCCTCTCCAGTTCATCCTTCATCACTCGTACCATCCGACGCTATAAACTCTAGCTTCTGGCAGCGTTGCAAATTAAGCCATAGAAATAAGATGCCATATGGCAACGTAATGGCTCCCATAATTAATGTTATGATGTCATGAATAGCTGTGACTGAGGACCATACATTTTTCTTTACTCTTCTCTGTTGCTACTGTGAGACCTAGGAGTTGGTCATGAGGCAATTTACTTTAAGTTTCCTGAAGCCGTGTTTTCTGTCTTCTTTCAGCTCGTCCACGAACGACCTGATCTCCAGGAGAGGCGTTTTCAGTCGAAGGCATTACGGATCTGTGGAACTGGTGAGTGAAATTTCATTAAATCGTAGCGTCGCCTGCCGACGTCTGGTCAGCGTCCGGCAAGCGCAAGAGTTTGAGAGGTTCTTTCATTTATGCGATGTTGCTTTCTTGATAATCTGCCTTACATGTCACATGTAAGCAGTGTACTCGTAACTAAATGTGAATCAGTATGTACGAATTCAGTTCGTACCTCACAGGGAACACATTGCATCTCCACTGCAATGACCAATCGCTTAACGCTGTACAGCCTGAGAATCCCATGGAAGCACTCTGTGACCATAAGGCAGAATTATTTAATTTTAAAGCAGATGCTTACATATATACCACTCACCTCCGACTAGTGCCGGGGTCAAGAAAATGTGGATCTATACATCCCCTCTCCAATATGTCTTCATGGCTTAGCGTTTAATTAGTTAAGCACAGGAACAACTTTACCTTTACCTCGGTCAATATCTGAAATATCACAACAATTTAGTTCTGCAGTACTTTCTTATTCACAAACAGATGTCTCTGTTTACCGATACTGAAGTGTTAATTATTAACACATGGCAACGGTTACAGTGTAAATCATAATAAACAGAGCTCAGTAAAAAATGCCATTCTATTTCGGGACGGGTTTGTGAGTTCCAGTGCATGCCACATAGGCCCGGCCTTTCGGTTCGTTCCCTGGTGGCAAAGCTTAGCCCACGCCATGCACATCCCGCTCGCTGGACCAGAACTCCCGCAGTGAAGTTCATAGAATATTATGTGCCCATGAGGGCACTAAAGATTAAAACGTAATATAATCATTTATCCCTTTATCTCTCCATATTCTGTAAGAAAAGGAGGGTTGGGGCAACACCACGTCAATACTGTTGCTCTTGCTGTGCCCCTAACAGCTTATGCTATTCTGCAACCTGATGATTGCATGATAGGTTTTCCAGCTGTCTTTATCCATTTTATCTCCCTGCCTCTGTTTCCTGTCTGTCTGTCTCTCTATCTATCTATGTATCTATCTATCTCTGCATATCTGCATGAGAAGTTCCGTCCAAACAGCTCTTTCTTCTAATTAAATTGATTATGTGGAGTTCTTCATAACGGGTATCAGACATTTTTCGACCTATTGGCAACCATCAGATTGTCTCTTAACCCCACGTTAGCCAGCACCCACAAATATATCTGTATGTGCTGTAACTGGGTGGGTGGTGCACACTGTGATAACTGACTTAAGCTTGTTGCAGCTTCTTAAAATGTTGTTGTTAAAACTTTAAACGTTAGGACGTCTAAATTGTCTCAAACGTTATTCCTTGGAGTGATTTATTTCAAATTTATTAGGCAGCGTTCAATATTCTGACCACTTTCCACTTCATATTGTGTTGTATCGTCGGTTTTCTCACGTATGTTCCTCCACGAAATATATTCAGTGTATAGAGACTCTTGGCCTTGATGTATGTAATACAGTCTCAGGATGGCAAATTAGTCTCAACGTGTTGCATAGTAAAAGCTGAATATAATTAATTTCTGTTATTCAGGAAAACACAGCATGACTCTGCAGTACGATATTTTATCTATATCTTACCCACTTAAATATCTCTGTGTCTGCCTATATTATCTATCTACGTCTTCCTGTACATAAAAGCTAATTATGTATTTATCAGACAGTAAATTACAATGTCTTAGATATTCTAATTTATTCCTCTTTTAACCTCGTTTTGTATCTCTTGCCACATACCCGTATCTCAGTACTGTATTGCCAAGTAACTGTAGACCGCGTTTCGATTGGTAATCGGATTTGTTAGACACTTTAAAACAGAACTCGTGACTACGCTATACACTATCACAGTCTCAGTCACGGTCCTCACTCCGCTGCTTGGTAGCGGCTTCCAATAGCGGACGTTCCCCTTCCTCTGGCTTCCCAAACTGTCCCCCGGCCTCAGCTACTGAAAATCTTGACTGTCTGCCTGCATATTCCCTCTCTCAGCTCACTCGTGATGGCAGCTGTTCCTCGTTAAGTAGCTTCGGCACGGACCGTACAGAAAACACAGCGTCCAGCAGTTCTACTGTTGCCGACTTCACATGACGGCTGCTGAGCCATTTCATAACAACGTGCGTGTTTAGAGAGCACGTCCCTAGTAACGGCTGTTTCTGCTGACTTCACAGTTCTGGCTTTCAGCAGACATATTACCGCTGATTTAGCCAGTAGTTTTAATTTCAAATATGCTCTAAGTCTCAGTCATTATTCTGCTGAGAGTTCCGCTAAAGTATTGTGTATGTGTCTGCGAGGCTGCTTCCTGTCCGTTAGTGTGGCATTGCAATCCTGCGTCTGACACTGCGTTTCCTGCTCATTTCCCCAGTACGCAATCCTTGGAGCAGCAGAAGGATATCTGTTTTCGCAGCGCAACAGATGCCACACTGACACACTTCACCCATCACATGACCATCGCAGAGTTAGGAAACAGAGAACTTACATCTGAGTTTATTCCCGTTTTCCTAATGAAGCGCGGAAGCGATCGCCCGTCCTACCCTAAATTCTGTGAAGAGTTGTTGTATTTGTTTGCTTTATTTTTCCACGGCGATGTTGATTCATAATACACAGAGATATTGGGTTTTCGGACTTTGTCCATCGTCCTGGTTTTTAAGATAACTAAGAAAAACACGACGTTTCGGAAACTGGATCTGTTTCCGTCCTCAGGTGAGGGAAAACACCTATTCTGTTGGGTCCCTTAGAAAGAGCTAGCCTCAATCTGGACCCAGTGATTGAGGCTAGCTCTTTCTAAGGGACCCAACAGAATAGGTGTTTTCCCTCACCTGAGGACGGAAACAGATCCAGTTTCCGAAACGTCGTGTTTTTCTTAGTTATCTTAAAAACCAGGACGATGGACAAAGTCCGAAAAACCAATATCTCTGTGTGTTATACACAATCGTCAGAATCCTATAGTAACTACTTGATTCATAATGTTCCTAGAATATTGAAATTTAATTTCCGCTGTATGAGTTTTAGGTTAGGTTTCCTTTTCCTCAACGCAGCTCACTTCGACACAAGAGTGCCCGGAACTAACACTATTGTGCACAATTGAAACTTCTCTCTCGTAATTTTGCGTCTAAGTGATATTGTGACATGTAGACCCATTGCCAAGTACCAGCTTTGTAAACAGGCGAAAGTGCAACAGCCCTTTCTAGAGAACAGCTCTATGGACACGTTTACCCGGCAACGAAAGATCGAGCAACAATAGAAGCAGTGTTTTCTGTGCGGTCCATGCCGAGGCTATATAACGCAGACCAGCTGCTATTACTTTTACTATATACAAAAGACAGACCCGTCCTCTCGTCAGGGAAGGCGCCCCACAGAAACAATACCATAACTGTCATGACAGTAATAAATATCTGGTCATGAGCCCCACATAGGGCTCGACCCTACGACCTACTGACTGACTGTCAGTCGCAGAGTGACTTTGATTTGACTTACTATTATATTCCCGCGTGGAAGCGGGTTCGAATACCTCCACTGTAGCCCTGCAAGTCGTAGGAGGCTTCGAAAAGGGGACCCAGTGCATGAGGTATAGCTGGGCCACCCTGTTCCGGGGGGATATAAATACGGGAACCTGGCCCTCCAGGTTGGGAAAATCTCGAATCTGAGTCAGTAAAATGTGGTCATGAGTTCCGCGAGACTCAAACCTGAGAATGGCTGCGCCGGTGAAGACCAGCAGAAATTGTAAACGACAGACCGATCCTCTCGTCAGAGAGGACGTTACATAGGGACTACGACAGCAAATGTTCAGTTGAAAAAACTAATTGCTGGTCGTGGGTCTCAAGGGACGTTGGCGGTAAACTGCCAGTTGTAAAGTGGCCCTGACCCTGACTCTTACTCTGACTGCTAGCCAGTCTTCAGACTATGATGAGTATGAGGTTCGAGTGAGGCGGAGCCACTCTGTAAGGACGTGAGCCAGGAATCAGAGGAACGTCCGCCATTGGTAGCCGCTACCAAGCAACATGACTGATGAGACTAGTCTGAGTGTAGCAGTTATTCGTGAAGTGTATTTAAGAAATGTAAAGTGTATAATGAATCCAATTACCAATGCAAAACCCGTCTATAGTCACGCAACCACGTGACAGTACGTTATCGCCCGACATATTTTTTGATATCGACTTATCTTCGTATTCGATTCATACTTAAAATGTAGTCACTCTTCTTGTGTGTTGTTCTGACTATTCCGGTTTTGCTCTGCACGTGCCCAAAGTATCCTCTTTAAGCCCAGCGTCTGGGCGGGCTGGTGCTACTGCGGATAAGAACAGCTCACACAAGCCGGCCTCATCATAACGCCACTCTAACCCGCGCGTTACGACAAGGGAGATATCGCTTCGAACGATTATAGCCTATCCTATCCTGTAGGTCGCGATGGCCCGTCTAAGCGATCTATCGCCAGTAGACTGCTCTGTAGACGAGATACATACTCGTAATGTGTAATTAATGATATTTTGGTGGCATGTTTTCCTATGCTGAGGGTTTCAGCAGAAAGAGGACATTTTTGCTTTTTTACGTGGTAAAGTATAAATTAATTCTGTGGGACGATTTTCAGCGTACTTTTTCGGACCTTCCCAATGCGCGTTCTTTTCTCCCAAACGAAGACAAGTCCTCACAAATATATAAAATATTGACAAATAAAATTATAGTTTTGTGTCTCTTAATCCCTAAGTTTTAGAAAGTTCAGTGTGCAATAAGGCATTCTAAACTGAATGTTGGCATGTACTCGTATTCATGAAATGAATTTGTTTATAATTTAGTCGTATAATACCTGCATTATTTCGGCTTATTCAACTCATGAGTTTGTTAATTAATATTGTGACATGTAGACCCGTTGTTGGGCAACGACCGCTAGATAAGCAAATATACAACAGCCGTTACTGAGTAACGGCTTCAAAGACAGACATGTTTCCACGGCAACAATGATGAACGGACTGCTTGCAAGCAGACTACTCTCTGTACACTTTGTGTTAGGATCCGTAGTTTTTCAGAAACCGGTTAT